AAAATGATTTTGAAAATTTTATACTGGTTTTTGGAAAATTCGAAATTTCTGTAAAAATCAAAGTGGGGTGTTACAGTTGTGAGTGGAGATGTTGGTTGCTAACCTTTTTCAGATTTTCACCTTTGTCAATGCTCAAGTCATTTTAGAATAATGGATTGAAAGAGGTGTACATTTGATTTATTTGGATGAATAGGTTGATTCTCTTTTACAACAGTTATTTATGCAAGTGATTTGTACTCTTCTTGGTATTCAAATGAAGGGATTTCCCTCAAAGTATTTGGCATTTGATAAAGTTAAAGGCATGAGATAATGCTCACCTACCCACGGTGGGCACATGTTAATATGCCAACTGCTTATGTGGCATGCACACATTGGTGATGTTAATATGTTCAAAAAAATACATCACCAATGTGTGAATGCCACAAGCGGTGGGCATATTAAAATGTGCCCACCGTGGGTAGGGGACCATTACTCATTACTCAATATAGATAAACTAATGACGTCATTTGATTGTATTGAAATCACTAATGATGAAGCTTAGCCTTGCATTTTTTGTTTTCCTTTTCGTCATTTGTTTATCCACACGTTTCAATTTTGAGAAAGGTATGTCTTCGCCTGATCTTCGTTACGAAGAAAAGGGGCGATAAAGGGTGCCACGTGGTTTTTTTAAGTCGATTATAGACTAAATTTGAGCCGATTGTGTTTATTTCTTCTTACATTTATACTTGGCAAAAAAAAAAATGCATGTGTCATATTGACAAATATTGGTTATAATTATAGACTGGACTAGAGCCGGCTGTGCGTGCACAGCCATCAGCCAACTAGTATATATATAGGGTCAAAATCTTTTTCACCCCATTATATATCTATTCTTTCTTTTACACACGGCCCCATGAAATAAGTTCTTTTACACCCCAAAACTCACGAAATGCTATGCGATATTACAGTCGCATGTCCAAATGAACCAGCGCATATCCAAAAGGACGCATAATTTATGACTATGCGAAAACATTTCGTATTTTTGTAATCGCATATCCACATCAAACGCATAATTTACAAATATGCGAATATCTTTCGCAGTTTTAAGAATCGCATATCAAAATCGAATGCAGCATAATTTACGATGATTATGCGCCTTATTTCGCAGGGCTATATCGACCTTGCAAATTTATGACTGTACGAAAACGTTTCGCATATCATTCGCATTATTTGTTGAATTCGCATTTTCTGGAAATTGCATATCCAAGTCGATCGCATAATTTACTGGTATGCGAAAAACTTTCGCATATATCCGCCGGATAATTGACAATGATGCGACATTTTTTCGCTCGCATATTGAAGAATCGCATAACAAAATCGAATAAAGCATAATTTAATTGACGGTAATGCGCCATTTTTTCGCAGGGCCATATCGTCATGGAAATTTTACGACTATTCAGAATTTGATCGCATATCTGTCGCATAAGTTACGCACCTCATTAATTGACT